ATGTACTAGGTGGCCATAGCCATGGTCTTTCAGAACCAGAAGACACAAACACATCAACAACTGACCAGTACTGACCTGCTAAGTCAGCATTAATAACCTATTAATGCCTAAATGAAAAGCCCCACCTAAGCTTGCATCTCCCTAGCCTTAACATTTTCACTCCTTTGCCTTCTAATAAACCAATAACTTACTACACCAGTCTTAACCTCCCACCCTTGGTCCTATGTGGTTTCCTTTTAGCCAACGGAATCGCCTTTTACCACTGTGCTTAATACCTGCTTTGGTACAAAGTTCCCTGGCCTCTATGTAATCCACTTGTAGCCTTTGGTTCACCCTCATCCTCTCCTTTGACCTTGCAAGACTGTCTTTTCAGTGTCTGCATCTGAAGTGGCCCATACCCTTGAACATGAAAAATTAAGAGGGCCCAGTCAGCTCACACACACTCAGCTACAGCATCTTTGTTGATGAACTAATGTATTATTTTCCATGAAGACTGCATATAATATCATAGCAAAGTAATTGCTCCTATCACATGCTACTTTTCTTGGTTAGAAATGTAAGTCAGCTTCTCCCGTCTTACTTTCAGCATGGTGACCCCACAAGTTAAGGCTCTACCAGCTTAATAAATTAAATAATCCTGTAATTTCTTTATTTTTAAATTTCCTGCATGTATTTTTATAATCTTGTTAGTCAGAACAACCACCTAAAGTGCTGAAAGTCAAAATTGCATATTGCTTACAAAAATATTTCAGTAATGTTGGCTATACGGAAGAGTGAAGAAGCGAAGAACTGACCAATCTCAGAACTTAATGAAAAAAGTGTAGCATCATGTAAAAAAAACCAAACCAAACAAAACCCCTAAACCCAACTCTAGAATGTGAATCCTCTTGTATCCTCTTCCATCCCATGTATCCTTTTACAGGCAATTGACACTGACTAGTATAATTATCCTAGTGCCCCTATTTCTGGGCAAAGTATAATAACAATTAAAAAAAAAAACATTAAAAAAAAAGACATTAAGAGTTACATTAAAGGAATTAGCTGTCTTCTTGGAACAATCCAGACTGGGAGATACCTTTTTTGTATGCATTCATCATCACATACAGGCTCTCCAGCTTCCAAAGGGTCAAAGTCTACTCTTCCTCAAAACAATGCCACTTTGGATCTATATTGATTAATAAGAGACCAATCCAACTGAAGTATGATCAGTTTGTAAATGTGAATAGGTATAAAAAAAGACCCCAAACTTACTGAAGACAATTAATTGTTCTAGTATTCATGAATGGCTAAAATATTTGCAAAGTACTCAGAATGCAGAATGTGTCAGATAAGGGCTTTTCTTAAGACAACATAACAAATACGTTGACAGAAGGGGAAAAAAGCCTCCTCACCTGGATGATTCAGAAGGGTGTCAAGTTCTTCTTTGGCCACAACCATTCTTAATTTGTCACTGCTATCAATGACAAAAATAATGGCTTGGCCTTCTCTGCATAACATAAAAAGAGGCAAATTATAGGTTCTCTTAAACTGCAATTAAGCACAGGTTTCAGAAGAAACACCAAAAAGAAGCAAATAAACCTGATTTTTTGTCCTCTAATTTTTCTTGTTATTATTTACCATTAACATTTGAATCCAGTCTTATTTCTGAAATTCAATCATTTGGTAACCTGTATAATTTTTTGAGATGTGAGGTTGTTAGCTGCATGACTCGTACAAGGTTCAATCTACACATCCCCTTGAGAAAAGCTTGATTTCACTAGTGAGACTGAAAAATGAACTCTGAAAATGTAATCAACTGCTATTCTGACAGTGTGGTCAGACAGACAAAGAAAATCTCAAGTCAGGCTTTTGTAGAAATTCTTTATTTCCTACAGTAAAACAAATTTAGAGACAGGTCAATTACCTTTTTAGAAAAAACTGTGTGTCCACAGCTGTTTAACAACTAGGCATATGCAGATTAATTTAACTTCTACAAAAGTCTGCATAAAGAGGAACTTCCTTTTGTTTTGAGGAACAGGTAAAAATTCTAAACTATTTCAGATCAAGACATTTTGCTGGCAATATGACCACAGTCACAACATATATACAACTATTCAACTCATTATGTCAGGATACTACTGGTATTTTATGACTTGATGTTCCATTTATTGAAACTTATTTGAAAGCAAAATAAAGTCTGACCAATTCAGGTGAACAGTTATAAACACCCATGAAAAGTATTTTTAATCTAAATTTTAATCTAATATTCACTTCTCCTTCATTTTACAGTTCTCTGAGACACCATTATGGATACATTCTTCACACCCCCCAGCACCATCTACCTTCGTACTTTGATAAGAAACAGCCCTAGACCTACTGAAAAACAGAAATAACTTGACCAGTCTAAGATTGTATGAGAAGGTCCATTCTTTCCTGCAGTACAGAAGAACTTCAACAGCAAATAAAGCTTTTGCATATTAGCTGAAAATGCCTAAGTAATTTTTATGAGCATACAGTATTTCTCTAGTGGAATCAGAGTCCTAGCATGCATTTACTTGCCAAAAAAATAACTTCACAAACAAGTAACAGTAATCGGGACACAGCATGAGTTTAGGTATATTTAAGACAAATGTACTTTGATGACATCCTAGAAGATAGTTTCAAGCCAAATAGAAGAAAAGGGCAAGCTTCAAGTACTTCGAAGCAACTACAGTTAAGACACTTGATCAGATTTGATTGCCATTTTGCAATTCTTGCAAAATTAAACCTTGCTTAACTTTAGAAACTGAACAGCACATTGTTAATTTTACATTATTCTTAGAAGTTAATCTTAAATATGTGACTACAGCACTGGATCAGGAATAAAAGTGGATACAAGCACACATTTCACTGTCAGCATTAATTAAGAAACCACCTTACTGTTAAAATGAAAAAAGCTGTTTATGCCACACAAGTGGTAAGTTACGGCATTAAATACAGAAGTCAGAAAAATTATTTGCTTATGAAGCACTCGGATAGCATTTTGAGAGCAGCCTAAGGGCATCAGTTACTGAAATCCAAAAGATTTGGGAGACATACATCTAACACTCTTGAACAATGAAGATCTCCTACCCACACAACAAGTTTTCAAACTGCTGACACATACTTTGCACAGAAAGGAGATGAAGTGGTAATCTTCAGTTAAAGAATACTTAAACCTCTATCACATTAAATATAAATATTTAATCAATATTATAATCAGAATTTCTCTGTTCTATTTCTCCAAGCTATTTCTGTGTGGTTTACTAGTGTTCAGCTTATTTAGATCAGCATCAGGTATTACTGAATAACAATGAGATAACATAAATGAATATTCAAGTTGCATTAGAAGTTAAAAAAAAAAACAGAAAATGGTGTCTACTATCAATAAGGCAATAGCACAGTGTTACAAAGTACAGTGAATAACCTGCTTAATAAATAACATCCAAGAATACTTGGTCAAGTTCTTAGTTACACGTGCCTCATTCTCTGAGGTTAATTTCCCTCATCTCTAAGTGTCTCAGCCATCAGCCAATACCTTTTGGGTCTTAAGTCACTTACCTACAGAAGAATAGAAAAATAGGAAACCTAAGTCATCTTGGTGCTTTCTTACAGGATTGGTTTTCAGGTTTCAACATTTAAATCCCATCTCTAGTATGCTCCCCCAATCTTTCAGTCAACAAGATGTCCCCAAAAGCATGCTGATTAACAGCATATAAAAATTTTTGTTTTTTAGAACAGAAAGAAAAGTTGTATTTATCCAGAATGACTTTCTGTCAAACATCAGGTGCAAGTCTTCTCCAAATAATTTCTAACCATTAGGTATCATCATACTTCTGTTTAAATAACATACATGACAGCTAATATGAGTAGTAATGCTTTAAAATAAATTATAGGCTTACTTGTAGTAATGTTCCCAGAGGTTTCTGTATCTCCCTTGACCTGACATATCAAACACTGTGAAAGACAAACTGCAAAGAAAAGAAGTGTATGAGGCACAGAAACAAAGAACAAAACCCAAACTCAAACTATTTTCTTTGCTAGAAAAAAGCCAGATCAGCTTGAATGCTAATCAACCGAGAAAGATTCCCAAAGGAACTCTGGTTACTCTATCTGCCTTCAAACTATCCTATCTAGTTTTGTGTTCTTACTACAGAAATATTTCACAATGGAAAACATGTTTGTTTACTCTCTGAATGAAAGAACTAAACCAATTATAAAAAGTTACATCAAATACAAAATAAGCTCCCATTCAACCTCTCCTTTTATCCTGTTAGAACCAAATATTTTTTATAATGTTGAGTAAATGGAATTAAGATGAGCCATGACTTAAAATCCACAACCTGTCTTAAATTCTGTCCCTAAACAGGCACCAAGAACATCCAAAGGCTTCCATATGCAAAATAAAAGGCTTTAAAAAAAATTCCCCCTTCAAAAAAAAAAATAAAAACAAAAACAAAACCCGCATTATCACATTCTGGTGATAACAGGTTACCTTAGGTGACCAAGCTGCAAAGGGTAGTCTTCGCCAACTTTAAGACTTCACCCAAATGCTAAATACAGCAAGTCAACTTAAAGAACATTACAAAAAAATCTGATCCACTCCCAAAATGTCTACAGAGGCAACATCAACTTCATCAACTTTTCTGTTTTGGGTGGTCCCAAATAGCTCCCCGAGCGAAGACCACACCAAAACAAGGAGGTTTAGAAAAGGAAGCTCTCCAGACATCCTTTCTACTCTATATCCAGACATCATCTGATTCTAGACACCTGCTTTGCCATATATAAAGTTATTAGCAACCCACAAACAATGTTTTGATTGTAATATTAGATTAATGAGATTTTGGGGTGGGGGTGGGTTTGTTCTTTTAATCATTCTACATGGTGTATTTGCAGGTCATCTCTCCTACTACAGGATCACAATAAGGGAGAGCAATATAAATCAATTTACATTCTCACATGGCCAAACCCCAAACCTGTCTTACGTGCTTTACTGAGACAGAATACAGTTGTTGAGCCTTCTGTAAAAATATGAAAGCTATGAATCCCACACATTCCACACACAATCTGCCCCCCCACAGTGGGGCACACTGCTTGGTTGAAGACTAACTGTGAAGGCTACCGAGTAATAAAATAATATCTAATGTTACCTCCTTGAAGTATCTTTGTCTCACAGCATTCATTTTCTAAATCTTAGCCTTCATTCAACTAATGATTTCTTCCTCCTTTTCCTGACTTTTGCCCCTGCCACCTTTACATTGCTAACGATGTAGCCACCATCTTTCATTTAATGAGATTAGACTGCAATCTCTTCAGAGTCCCTCCAGTGAGAGTGCTTAATGGAATATAGGTTATCATCTAAGCAACTGTCTCTCCTCAAGTCTATAACAGTGCCCTATTCTGAAATTCTTAATGGACAGAAATCAGATGCTTATACAAACTATTGCAAAAAAAACTTTTTTTTTTTTTTATACCGATATAAATATATAGCTTTATAGCAGCACAAAACATACAATGTATTCCAATGCTGTCAGTCCTGGATCACAGTTAGGACTCCTGGTTACTACAACATTTTGACAAACTGCATGTCATGTCATTGTACCACCACACATTATACTCAGTTACATCCTACTGAAAGAGGTAATTGAGTCCAACTATTGTATATTAATTCCTATTACTAAATGGAGAAAATGAAAGAAACTACTACCTCGATGTCTTGAACTTCTCTATACTGAATCCTATTGTTGGAACGATGTCCTGAGTTTGAGCCTTTAAAGGAAAGAAAGTTCAAATTTTACAATCAAATCAGAAAATGTAAATATTGAAATATATTTGAAACATGAATACATTACAGATCTATTTTTCCCCAAACTGTGCAATACAAAAACTTTCTACAAATCCAGATACTTTATATAAAAAAAGTTCCCAGAAAAGTACAGTAATTCAAAAATCAAGGTTTTGTAGTTTCTAGGAAATACAAGGAACGCTATTGGATAAAAGCATTGAAGACGTTTTAGCCCCAAGACAGATTCCACCCTTTACATTAGTCTGTGTGGATATTACCCATGAAATAAAGGAGATGGGTTACCATGGAACATAACAGCTTGAAGATTATGACTGAGGTCAAAGTTCACAATATTTGTGCACTTTGGAAATCACAATGTCAACCCAAACAAGTCTGCACAATACCCCGAGCCTCTTAGATAAAAGAGGATATACTTCTATCAAGATATTAGATAGAAGCTGGGAGTACAGCCAATCTGCAAGCTGGAGGAGTCTATCTGACATTGGGAATTATACAGCAGACATTACACAATGACATAACCACAGTACTATTCAAACTACTAGATCACTGGAAGAAATCAGCATTTACCACCGAGGAATAGCCAAAACATAAAGCATTATTAATAGATCTGTCTGATAACCAGGTTTACTGCTGAGCTAGCCAAGGAACCTATCAGCTAAGTTGGTACAACAGAATAGCTCCTTTAAGAAGCATCCATATTGAGCAGGGAGGAAGGTCACATTCCTTAGATTACAGAGCTGTCTGAGAAAGTGACATGTAAACCTTTTACAGACTTTCTAGTGCCTTTTATTAAAAACACTATCTATAAGCAGTTGACTCCTCACATATGACTGAAGCAAGCTTAGCTTGTTCACCTGCAGCTTCATTATGAAAATGGCATTCCATCTTTGTGAACAGTTTAGGCAACAGTTCCTGTCACCAAGGGAAAATTTGTGCAGAGTAGAAAAGGTGTTATTTGTTCAACATTTATTTAAAATTTATTTATAAGGCCCAGAAGAAACAACTGCAAGCCAATGGAGAAACACTTGTATTTGCCAGCCACCTAATATATTGCTCCTAGGACAAAGCAGCAGTTCTTAAGGAGACTGGGTTGATCCAGAGTTCAAAATCATCTGTCCATCTGAACTTACTAAAAATATACAATTCTATCAAGTCTGATCTAATGACATTTGTTGCACATTAGAGAATTTGTCACCTCTTGCAAGGATAGGACTTACACAAGTTGTATGCAAAGCTACCTTCCTAAAGCATTACGTTAAATGAAAACGTTCAGAAGTAAATTCTCATCCCATGATTTACAGTAAAGCAAACAAATTCTATTAATTCTACTTGTGTAATACCCTTAGGACCTTCTCTAATACCTATTATTGTGATAAATCTTGAAGTCTGCGTGCAACTCTAGTTAGGAATCCTTTACTGCTTAAGGCATGACGTAAAAACCCTGCTACAATAAAGGTTTCAAAAATTACATAATTTGCCTGGTACAAATCGTAGCATTTCCCCCAAACAACTGTCAGCAGACAGTAAGCAGTTTATACTCTTTGTTTCTAACTCTAATTTTCAGTGAAAGGATAATTGCCAGGAATGGAAAAGTAGCAGACACTTTACCATGTTACATGTCAGAAAAGTTCAATGTAATTAAAAAACAAAAGCTGTGTCTTGATGTAAACAGCAGAAATCGCTGTTTCCCAGACGCATATAACTAAGATGCACAAGCCTCAGGCTTTGAACATGCCTACCAAAATTCATCTATTTCTATTCCATAAACATACCTAGAAACAAGGTAATCCTACTTTAAATTTAGCTCAAGAATACTATGCACTTTTAGCGGTCTGAAACACTTTTCACTGGATGAATGAACTGCAAGTATAAATGCTACTTATTCTGAAAGCTACTCTGCTTTAAAAATGCTGAAGTCACCATTAAGTGCGCATCTCCATATTAGTTCCTATTTTATTATTTACTATAGACTTCGTATTTCTCAGGAAGAGCTTAAAATAAACATGATAAATATAGACAAGTACAAGTTATTATACAACTGTATCAATCCCAAATGTTCAACACATCACTCCTAACTGCAATCCTGTAGCAATTATTTAAGTGACTTAGGAAAAATGTTTCAGATCCTGATTTCAGCTATCACAAACCCTTCCTTACTGAGTGATCTTAGAAAAAAACGTGACATTAACAGTGGGTTTTGGGGAAATGTTTTCATAATATGCAAATGGATGCTTACATTTAGTTTTAGTTAGTTGGATACCCTTAAAATATATTGGCTCCACTGTACTAAATCAAAAAAGCTCTTCACATCTTTTCCATAGTCACATTTAGTATAACAGCATGCAAAACCAGTTTAAACAAACATCAACTCTGCAGTAAAAACATCAGTGAGCTAAGTAAGCTACTTACATTTGAAGGTTTGAGTTTGTTTATGATCGTCGTTTTTCCGCTATTGTCCAAGCCAAGGCACAAAACGTGAACCTCCTTTTTCTTCAGCCCAAGCCATCCTGCTAGCTTGTCAAACAATCCCATAGTTCCGGCTCAAACACACAAGGATCACCTGTTCTTCAGAAAATCAGAGAAGGAAATAGCTGTTGGAAAACAGTTACATGTACAGCAGCGCCGGCACAGTAGGTGGGCATGTGGCTAAGCAGTCCTTAAACTTTTAAAATGACAGTGTGAATAAGACACTATACAAACACTCTCACAGCAGGTTTGCTTGGCATACTAAGCAAATGGAGTGTAAGCTGATTACGGCGAAGAGGCCTTGATGCAAAAGTAGATTGGCTGTTTATAGCCCTGTCTATATAACCCGATGTCCTTGATTCACTGTGGGTAGCAATATTGCCATTGTTCTGAGCAGTCCAAATAGGAGCACAATTGCAACACCTCCTTACCTTCCACCAAACTGGGAAAAAAAAAAAAAAAAAAAAAAAAGGAAGACCATTACATTTCACTTCAAATTGTCAGTAGTCCAGTCAGTTGTCATAATTTAGACAACAAAGCAAAACAGTATTTCCCTTCTTCAGCACCTGCTACGTAATTTACTGAACCCTGAAGTAAGTAAAGTACCCTCTGTCAATTCAATTCAAACTTTAATTGTAACAGGCTTTGCTCATATTAACACATATAAATTAGGAAGTCATTGACTACAAATAGAAACTGATTATAATAGATCCAACAGACACGATGCCAGACACCACAACATTCACCCATGTGTCAGGTAGATGCCAAACTCCTACTCCTGCCCAGAGGCTGACTAAAGTTACCTGGCAGGAGCATATTTAAAGGACTTTACCTCATGCGTTTTCTTGTGGTACCTGGCTGAACATACTTTGCAAAGAGGATAACCCTTGTCAACATCAATGACAAGTATTTGATCTCACTTCTTCACTAACTGTTTACAAAATGATGATTAATTGCATTTTAATAGAAATAATTTAAAAATCTTTGTATTTAATAAAGTCACATAAGCCATCACCTTTGTTTACCATATGACTTTTTTTTTTCTTTTTTAATACAGGATCCTTTTTAAAGCTTTATCTAGAGCATTTTGATTCAAGACTGGTAGTGATCTACAGAACAGCTGTGTATGCAACAGCTACACACAGTTGTCACCGGATTAAACAAGCCCAGCATTAGTTATAGCAATTCCCTCAAGGAAAAACATATCACTGTTATAACTCCCTTTGGTTTTTTGTTTTGGCCCCATTCTTTTTTAATACACATACAACTCAAAGCAGATTAAGGCTGACTGTTTATTATCAAATGAACCTGACAAAACCCTGGTCCAAAACACATTAGTTTCTAGTCCAATCAAGAGCCTTAACCTAGATGATAAGGTCCAAAAAAACACCTTGCGGGTACTCTTAAAACTGAAAAGGAGAAAATGTAAGCACTTAAAAAGATACTTCTAGGGCTTCACATTTTAATTATAGCCATTTTTTCTAGCAGTTTTTCATAACAGTTGGCAAAATCCTTATTTAAGTATACATGTATTCTTAAGGAAAAATGTACCCTTGACTTATTGCCCTGCCCCTTTTCTCCCATTATTTTTCTCAGCTGTGAAGAGTTACACCTAGCACAGGTTTTTTTTTTTTTGGTTTTTTTGGTTTTTTTTTTTTTTTTTTTTGCCAGCTGATATTTAGCCTACAATGCTATATAGCACATGGTAGACACATATCCTAAAAATATTATTTAAGAGGAGTTCTGTCCAGGAACTTGTTATCAAACTCCATAAACCTTCACCAAGAACCGTAAGCCCGTCTGAGACATCAGTGATTAACACCCGGGACTAACCAGGCTGTGAAACTCCTTAAGGTGAATCAGTCACGTCGAGCATGCCGCGCAGCAGTGGCTTGCTTGCCAGGAAGCCGAGCCCGGTGAGCCGCAGAGCTCCCCCGAGAGATGCCGGGGCAGCCACAGCCACCTCTCCCCGCTCCACCCGCGACTCCCATCACCCGCTGGCTCAGCCGAAAGCGACGCAATCCCCAACGCGCCACAGGCGCCCCGCTTTGGAGTTTTTGAGGCGGCGATCAAGGCAGGCGGCCCCGCCCAGGCCCCTTCCAAACTAAACGACACTACGCTTAATTCACCTGGATTACTCACACGCAAACGCTGAGATACCAAGGCTGCCCAAGCCGCGCACGGGAGGCCTTTTCACATCAGTATCATTTAAAGCTCTGCCTATCGGTTTTTTTTTTTTCTGTTTTGTCTTTGCAGGCCCCCCGACTCCCACCCACACTCGGGGTGAGGGGGCGAGGAGCCAGGGCCCAGCACGTCCCCAGGCGGCGCCCG